GAAGAAACAGACAAGATAGCACCTGTGGCTGGCCAGAATCCAAGGGTATGAAGCGGCGGGAGTCTGGGACGACCACTTTTAGGTGCCTGGCTGCATTCTGAGCCTGGATGCTCGAAAAGTACCACTTGGTGGAACTGGGCTGTCTTCACCAGAAAGCTCCAAATCAAGATAGTTTGGGGGAGGCTAGAGTGTATGGGGTATAAAGGGAGCTGAACCCTTTCAGGTTATAGAGCACAGTGCTAGCACGTTGCCAAGCCCAAGGACGACCCCATACTTCTACCATGTTCATCGTCTTTATACACTCGGGCCTCAGGTCAAGCCCTATTCAAGCATTTGCATTAGATTGTGCCCACTTAAGTTTTAAATCGCCTTGCCTGGCTTTTGAGGGCTTCATATGCTGATCCCACCCTTCCGTAGTCCTATATTTGCAAACCCAACACCGCTGCTTTTTACACACATTTCCTTTCTGCCCCCTTGCTATCCACATCTATCCCACTACCATCCCCAGACCACCGTTAGTCCCACCTCCCTGCCCTTACCCCTTCAATTCCAGACCAGCCAGGGCTCGACTAAGTGTGTGAAGCAACCTGTAGCACTCAGGGTACTAAGAGCCAGTGTTGGGTCCTGCCCACTAAGAGCTCATGAGAGAATTCCCCCTCCTCTGACCCACTTCTTGAGTCCACGGACTTTGTTCATCATCAGCCTACATCATCCTTGGTTTAACCAAGTCACTACTCACGGAGTAAGAACTCTTTGTTCAAAATGGATCATTCACACAGTCTAAGAAAGTAGTTTGCCTTTAGTTCTAGGAATTCACCCTTCTCACGACCCCGATTCTAAAGGGGAGTCCCATTCCTCTGTTTCCCTCCCCGCAGTGAGTGACGCAGAGCTGGCAGTCCTTATTGGTCTTTGATGTCTCTCTGGACCTTGTATCAAGGTTGAGATCAAACACTAGTCTGAATACCCTTAGACTAGGAACTTCCCAAAGGTTTTCAGCACATACTGCCTGATGGGAATATTGTTCATGAAACAACAACAAAAGCCCCCAGGTTCTCCCACCTGCCCCTCCCCCACCCAGGGTAGGAAATGGCCAGTCAGAATTTGTCCCTAAAGCGCAGATCGTCTTCAGATGGTTTTTTCTAATGTGCACGAAGAGCAGTCCAGCAGGAGAAGCTGCTGTGGTTGGTACTCCCCCCGCCAGAGCAGTGCCTGTTACCTGGGTTCTTTGTGTCCAATCTCTAACGCAGCTGGAACTTTTAAGGTAGAACCTTGTCAAGGGCTCTTTGAGAAGCCCAGATAACATTCACTGGGCCCCATTTATCCCAAGATGTATTTACCTCCTCACAAAGCTCCGGCTGATTAAGCAGATATGAATTTTCCCTACATAAACCATGGTATTTTTCTCAACAGATTGTGTTCAGCAAGTTGACCCTTCCCAGCAACACAGCTGTCAAGGCATCCCCAGAGCCCTTTCACATAGGGTCACCCGAGGCTGTCCTGGGGAGGATGGACAGCATCATTTGACTTAATGTCGGTTCTTCAACAACCAGCAAGTAGAGACCACATGGTCCCCCTTGCACTGTCCTCCAAGCTCTTTCTGCTTTGAGGTTCACTGAGCAAGGAGCCACTATGTGACGTTACAGAACCTTCACATCAAGATTTGTCTCCAGGTGGTCCTTGACTCCCTGCCCTGTACTTGGGTCACCAAAGTCTACCAGTGTCTGCCATGACCCTTACCCTGCCCTTCAGCAGGACCCGGACAGCTCTACCTGTGCAAACACAAGCCCTGGCCCTTCCTGATGACTCGGACAACGCGGAACATGGGAAAAAAAGGTGCTTGAAGGAAAAACGGCACTTGAGAGAAACAAACAGGCTCTTGTGGCAGACCGACCTCCACTCCAGATCCAGCCCATTTCTGACCTGTCACCACTTGGACGAGTTACCCATCTTCCGGTCCTTTGACACATCAGCAAAATGGAAGGATTTCTCCTCGGGAGGATCATGTGAGCCCATAGATGAGGCCCAGCTCGAGTGCCAGGCACACAGGTTCCTCCCGCCTGACTGCTCAGTTTTTTTACAGGTTTATTTACAGTAAGGAACAGACTTATATACTCCTTATAAACAGTAAGGAGCTACTTTTCTTTTTACAGTAAATATGTCCAAACAGCTGCCCATTGCTGCTGCCAGACCTTGCTGCAAGTATTCAGAACTCAAACAGGAGAGTAAAAGACAATTTTTCCTTACATTTAAAAGAGACAAGAAAACAGGGGCACTAAAGATTACTTTAAAGGCCAATGTAGAGTTGAGGCCCTGGTGTGTGTTTAGGAAAATCGCCTGCTGACCATGATTTTCTTTGTGGCCAACCTGGTACCCAGTGCCACGTGTGGTGAGTCACCAAGAACAGCGGGTTACAGTCAGCTTGGGATTGTTGATGGTGGTGCAGAAAAGCAAGTCACAGGCAGTGGTAAATCTAAGAAATTCTATCTGGAGTGCATTTTATATGTGCTGTGTGTGTAATTTTTTTCTTGGCAGAACTTATCTTCCTAATTGTGTTTCCTTTAGGCTATTATTCTGCGTTCCCTAAGTCTGCGTTCCCTAAGCACACACCACCGGCAACAGACAGTATCTAGCCTAGAGGGTAAGGTCTACCTGGGAGTTAAAGTGTTTGAAAATACACGAACACACCTCTGTGTGTACACAGGATCGCATGTATATACACACAAACACAGGACTTCCAACCCTGTCTTGTAAGAAACACAATAACATACAGTGGGGCAAGGAAGTTGTTGCAAAACTTCCTCAAAGCTCAGAGAGCTTTGACCAAAGTCCGTAAGACCATAAATGCTTTCGAAAGGCACCTTGGGTCATCAGACATGCGCTGTTTCTTCAATTCTTTAACTATACCTGTCACCTTTCAGCAGCTTTGACCTGGTAGGATTGAAAATCTTTTTCTTTTCAACAATCCTGTACTTTTTCCCCCCAGAATTCCTAACTTTTAAGAAATGTCAAAAGTAGAAGGAAATGGGCATTTTGTTCCAGACATGGACAACTCATGCTAAGAAATGGATTCCTGTAGTTTTTACTTATTAATACTGAATTTAGACGTGACTTCAAACAGTGATGAGTGAGAATTCAATTTTACATGAAAACTGAACTTGGACATTTACATATCCTGATGATTCGACCACCGGGCAGCTAATTCATGAGGTAAGCCAGACAATTGCCACACATTTTCCTAATACTCTCATTGGCATCCTACACGGCGGTTGATACTGCTTCAAGGCATTTGGGCTTGAGGAAACATTATGAGTACTTTAATAGAATGAGTCGATTCCGAGGCATAGCATTTCCTTTGAACCTTTTCCAAGCATTAACATTGCCATCGATGTGCTGTATTCTAAGAGGATCTTCCCAATCGCTTTGGCCAATGTGTTCTTCACTGGTGATGATATGGACACAAGGTACCAAAAATGAACCTTCACACCCACAGAGAGAATGCTAATTGGGCATTCCGGGATTACAGCACTAATATGCCAAATTGTTCTTCGTTTCATTCCATGTTTGTTTCTTGAAAAATTACCTAATCTTGGCCAAAATGCTACAAAGATCCAAACTGTGACAGCACAGAGAAGCCATGACATTAGAACAAGAATCCTTATCTTTAGGAACTCTTCCTCCTCAATATTTTTTTTAAAGTTCACCTAAACAATATACAACATTACTGAGCATATGCTACCTTTCATATAAAAAAAAAGTCTGAAAGAAAAATCTCTGTTCATATTTGCTTGTATATGTTCAGCGAAACTTTGAAAGATGTTTATCTAGGCTGTAGGGGGTAACTGGGCCAATGGATGCAGGAACAGGACAGAAACTATCACTCTACCTTTATAGTATGTGTTTTGGTTTTTAAACCTTGTCAATGTATTACCTACTTAAAAACTAAATTAGACATGCAAATGTTAAATGGCATTTGCTTTACCGACGGACTGGAGTTCCTACATTACATGTTATCCTCTAGGTATTTTTCACATATAGAAATAGGATTTTTAGAAGAAAATAATTAGGAGTTTAAAAGTAGAAACTCAATTTTTAAAGTGTATCATGGAGATATATATATCATGGCCAAATTATATTTTCCCCACTAAGTTCTAAGGTAGAAGAATTTTCTCAGTTTAGTGCTTTTTTTCTTATTTCAGAAAAGACAAAGTTGTATTTGGTAGTTTAGTGTTTGCTCGAGAGCAAGGACACACACACACAGAAGCCTCCTGTGGAAGATACGGTCATTATAACACACTACATTTTAGCCCTGCAAATAGATATATTCTGTCAACTCAAAAGGGGAAGAATTTTGTGTAGCACCATCTATATCTATTTTTATAGTGGTTCTGTAATCACATGTGATAAATTTTACTTAAAATTGTTAAGTGTTAATTTTTGTTAAAAAAATTTAAATCTAAACTGTTAGGTTTCTAACACTCAGGAACCAAAGTTCAAAAATGTTAAGTCAATTCTTTGTACTTTTTCTTTTATCAAAATAGCAGGTGCCAATTACTCACTCTTTTTGAAATAAAATATAAATCTAAGAGTCATAAAATGTTGTCCCTTAAGGTACAGAGTGGGTGAAGTGTTTGAAAGAAAAATAATTCATGAATGACTCTGTAAAGCTAAACCCTTCACATGCAATTAACTGAGACTTTGGAAAAGTCAGGTTTCCTCACCCGGCTTTTCTTCTACCTCCCTCATATTCTGAACTCTTAAGGTTTTAAAATATTCAACTTGCCTTTATTCTTGTTTGAGGGAGGACGGAGCGGGGGTGGGGGGATGGGGTGAGCCTGCCAGCTGGTCAGAAGCCAAGAGTTATCCAGTCAGACCTGAATGGAAAAATCTAAGATTTGTTTATTTCTTAGTTCGAATTCAAAAGCAAGAGACAATTTAAATAATAAAAGGGTAACAGGGAAAAAAATGCAAAGAAAGAAAACAAATCAGTTAGACTCCAGAAGAACCTTCAAGAATATTTAATTCGGAAAATGTTATTGGTTTCAAGAACTTGACTGAAAGAAAACAGCTGGGCAGAGTTCAAGGTTTTAAATTAAAAACAATCTAACAAGGTCTATGGGGATAACTCTTTGAGCCACATTTTGGAGACCAGATTCATTTCTACCAAGTAAAAGTAATAGCAGACTAAGCTAAAAAGGAAATTCCTCACAACTGAGGTAGTTACTAAGTATCAGCACATTTTCCAAGTTCTCACAAGGCAGTTTAGCTATTTACAATCAATTTTTCCTCATACATAAATGGAGCGCCTTTTCAATTTTATGCCTTCTGTGATTTGTTTTAAAAAACAAAACAAAACACTTACACACACCAGCCAGAATATGCCTATTTTATTAACATCATGCTTTAATAAATAACTGGCTACTTCTAATAAAATTAAGCCTCTTGTTTACAACAGCCCCCAATATTCAATTTTGACCATTCTGCAGAATTTGGTGTAAAAAGTTGAATGAAATGTAGACCCTGAGCTATCAAGTAATTATGTTTCAATATAAAAATAGAGAATTACTTTTACAACTGAAGATCGAACAATAACACAAACAACCTCTCCCGTGGGTTTCAGCTTCTGTAGCGTTGGCTGGGATGGTAATGGCTGTCTAAAGCAGGAAGAGACTTGCAGAAATTTTCTTCTTTCTGAAGACTTCTGGGAACTCCGTTTAAAGTGATCTGTTACATTCTCATGGTTTTATGAGCCGTCATTTGGAAAGGATGCAAGGAAAGGGCTCCTACGGGACCAAGGCAGTGGTTCGTCTTTGGCCTGGGGCAAGAGATGCCTACGCTAGTTCACCGACGTGGCTGAGGGCCACCACTAAGATGGAGGCTTCTCAGCGTTATCCTACTCCCACTCCTCCCCCACCCCCCCAAAGAAACCCCAACAACACATTAAAAAAATCTGGACACTCAGCTCTCCCCAGGTGGGCTGCCTGGCTGCTGGTTAGCACACAGCTGTGAGCCACGCACGGCAGGTCACTTGCCTTCCTTATCAGAGGGGGCTGGGCAAGAAAAAGACTCAAATAAGAACACCTTAGCATCCTTTTAAAAACCTGGGATCCAAAACCAAATGCAAATACACACACACAGACAAAACCTTTGCTATTTTTGACAGCTATTTTCTGAGCCCAGGCTGTACTCTTATTCTGGCTAGGCCCCGGACAGCCAGCATGACCGGTTTGAAATCTGGAACAAGAGGGACCAAAGGAGATTGCTGGTCACTTATTTCTGCCGTGGGGATATTAATCCAAAGAGGGTCAAGTGTGGACGCGAAGACCAGCACACAGCGGCTTGCTAATGTGCCTGGATTGAAAAAAGCCAAACCCAACCCACCCTAAACTAAGTGTGAACATGTGATAACTGGGATATGCTGAATGCCTTATGTCTTTCTAGGGAGAATGCATTAAGAATCTTCTAGATGGGTTACACTTTAAGTATAAGTGGCTTCAAGAAATGGATCTATCGCTATGTGATCTTAGTTTATGCAATTCGACTCAACCAAAATGAGTAGTCTGCAGTCTCAGTCTCTTCCAGTCACCAGCTATAAATGAAGTATAACCTTCTTCTGTACTGATGCTCGAATACAACCTGACAAAGGGCTCAGAAGTCCCCCTGTGCCTTCACATTCTGTTCTAACAATAAAAATAAAAAAACACAAAATCAGCTCCTCTCCTCTCCAGATAAGGCAACTAAAACAACAGGGATCAATGGCAATTTTACTGCTTGTTGGGCTTTCTTTTAATAAGATAACGTGATAAATAAAGCCTGCTTCTGTACAGCTATTTAATATTTCAGAAATACGTACATGTTACATGCCAAGAAAGGACCCTGGTTTGCTTGTAAGAAACAAGGTGAGATCATATGGAAGGGAAAAAACCCACAAACAAAAAGAAAAAAACAAACAAACAGAGTGATAAAAATCACAAATGCACAACTAACTACAGTTTCTGTACCTACACTGTTAGCCACAGTTAACATGATTCTGGGGGAGCAGGAACTGACTTTATGTGCAAGTCCCTTCCCCCACCGCGAAACTGAATGAAAAAAACAAAGTCAGCATCTTTTAAACCAGTGGCCACATAGTAAAAACTGTACATTGTTGTCCATTCATTTAAAAAGCAAAGTCACTAGGATGGTATAAAAGTGATAATCGGTGCCTTTTTAACTTTTTGATGATGAACACTTTTTCTCTAAGGTTGAGAATTATCTCCACTCTCTCTGCATTACCAGGAACAAGATGCAGAAGACAATGAGGAGGTAGGGCTGTGCCCCAGGGGGGGCACCAGCACTGCTGGCTTTATCGTTGGCATTCTTCCCAGAGTGGTCAGTTGCGTTGTACTCAAACTCCGAAGGGCACTGCTGATACTCACATCCACTACCACTTCCTTCTCCACTGCTTTCATCACCTATTTTGGAAAAAGAGTGAAACAGAGATTTCATTCTCGTTCTCATCACAAGTTGTACAAGAACAATTCGTACTTTCGAAGCACAGATGCTTACTGATGTCAAAGAAGTCCACATCATTCCCATTGTAAGCATTCTTCATTTTACTGGTCATAACTCGAAGAGCCATGATTTGACGAAGGATCAGGATGTCTGGTTTGCTGGTGTCAACCTGGACCTCTGGATTATTGCCCTGGTTGGCTAATCCGTTTCCTGTCACCGCAAACAGGTACCTGAAATGTGAGAAAGGGCCCCATTAAGATGATCAGGAAAACAGAAAGTTACAGAAGCTCATCAAAGATCTCTGCCTAGATTCTAGAATCTCCACTGAGCACAATTAATGGCAAGGGCTTCCATTTCGAAGAATCCGAATTTCTTCTCTTCCCGGGTACACATCTTGTGTCTCTAATCTGATTGTGACCTTTTTGAAAGCTATCCATTTTGCAGAGGTTGGTGGGTCAGAGTACTGATCTAAGGTACTAGGAGGGGAGGGCCACAGAGCATCATCAAGTCAGAGAATGAGACAGCTTTGAGAACTGGTACTTGATGAGGCCAAGCCATCAGGCAAAAGACCACAGGTATTAAACCATAAAACTAAGGACACTATTAGAACAAACTTCTGCCCCAGTACTCTTTGCAAATAGCTGGATGTCTTCCCAGTACTTCTCTGGCCAGCCCTTCCATGTTGTTGCTAGCTATTGTGAAATGCTTCATGACACCTCAACTGAGAACTGAGAAAACCCTGTCTGAAAGGTCCCCAGGCATTTAAAAGGGAGAGAATGCTAATCCTTTCAATGGAGTCTAACCTGCTTTTGCCTTTTCCATTCCAGCAGTCATCCTCATTGCCATTTCCTGCAGCCATCCTCTCGTCATTGCATACGTTGCTAGGAAGAGAGGACCAGAACTTCTTGGCCTGTTTCAGTTTCTCCTTGACATCAGTAACCTGATTAAGAGAGAGAGGAAAAAAAAAGAGACCTCTATAAAAACGCAAAACTACCTACAGATGTGCCCTTTGATCATTTCTGAAGCATCCCCAGAGTACCTCTTTAGTCACAAGAGAAAAATGCAGATCAAATTTATCCACAAATGTATCAAATCACCTAAGTGAATTAGTAGTTGAAATGCAAGCTCTGAAGAAGTTGCCTAGATCCACTCTACCTCCTCATTAGAACTACCATCTGAGGCCCATGAGGTCCCAGGCCCCGGGGATACAATGATAAGATGCAGTCTCTCCTCTCAGGGCTTTTATAACTCAGGGTCTAATTTACAGGTTACCCAGCCGGTGAAACAAAAGGCAGGCGTTCTGATAAGCCTCATTGCACCTCATTTCCTTGACTACGGATGAACTTTCTGAGCCAGGAAATCAGAGAGGCAGACTCACTGACATCCCCGTGCAATTTGCTGGCAAAACTTCACCTGAAAGACCCACCCTGAGAAGCCTTCCAAATAAAAACGCATTCGAGCAAATGTTTTCAGTTCTTTGTCGTGAAACATGGTCATTCCTGCCAAAGGGCTCACCAGTCGGTCCAAACTAGTGCCAGCGGCTGTGGTCGGGCGCTCCTCAGGGTGATAGGGTCTGAAGCGAGCGCTGAAGGCACTTTCAGAGATGGAACGGGAAATCCGTCCGGCTGGGAGGGGCTTTGGGGGTCCACATCCCTGGAACACCTGCATCGGAACGAGTGTGGTCACATGAGATAACCAGCTGGAGGGGGCCCCCGCCTCGCCTTCCCAGCCCCGGCCTTCGTTACCTTCTGAGACACCTGCACACTATTATCCTGCATGTTCATAATAGCATCAGAAATCTTCACATCGATGGGATCCATGACCGACTCGATGTTGAAAGGACCCTCTAGCCTCTCGGCCACCATCAGCATAGCATCTAACATGAGGTTTGCGGAAGAACAACACAGCATGAAAAATAAATTGTTAGTTTGGCCTTGGGTAATCAGTCTGGTTATTTTACTCTCTGTTTCCCGTGGAGGGCACTCGGGGGAAGGCATGATCGTCATTAACTCATGCTTTTATATCTATTTCTATTACACAAAACCGCATCCAGTCAGTATATACCACTAGCTCTCTGGTGTGCAGTGGCCAGATGAAGGCTTTAATCCACAGCAAGGAAACCCAATCAGGAATCTCGGAACACACTGATCACCCATCCCCCCGTGTGTCAGTGGCTGTCACTATCTGGCTCAGAGCTAGCTCCCAGCTGACAAACCCAAGGCTGGAAATGAAAGAAGTCTCCAGAGACTTCCACGGACCTTTCATTTCATGTTCCATTTACAAGAGTCAAAAACATAAATCAGTGAGAAATCCTGGCATACCAATTCTTTTCCTTCATTTTTTAATGAAATCCTTTCAGATCCTTGAGGGCGCAGTTAGAAAATACAAATGAAAGTGTTCCAAGGAATTAAATGATTCCAAATAATGAAAATTTGCAGAAATTTTTATATTAAGATAAACTTCCCATTTCAGATACAAGGGCCTTGAGTTATTTTAAAGTAAAACATGTCCCTCTTTTTGTTCAAGTGAAGACAGCCCAAGACAGTATGCAAAAACCATGTGCTCACAGTGTGTGTCTTCACTAATTACTCTGCAAATCACTTTCACATTTTGGAGGAGTCTAGAGGTTTCCGGTAGACACTGAATCTCTCAAACAGAATGCACCATACTGGTTTCCTTGCCATCCATGGTTGTTAGGATTATTTTTAATTATTTCATTAAAATATTATTTAATTATTTTAAAGTATTTTTTGCTCAATACCTATGGTGAAAAATTAGAAGAAATCACCAGTGTCATGTCCAAATGAGAAAAAGGATGCTTCATTCCCGACAAACAAGAAACTTTCACCTTGCTCTCCCCGCTTCAAGGATAGTTAGGCCCACATTATCCCCAGCCTTCAGGTTGTGTCCAAGGACAGCTGCCAGAAAGAAAGGCTAGTTTCTAGAAGACTGTGTGTCCTTCTCAAAGACCAGTGCGGGCCACACCTAAGCTCTCTTGTGGAAAGGGGTTCCATCATATGCATATCAATGAACCCAAATTACATCATCAAACTTTCACCTTCAACCTAGAGCCAATGCAACCCACCATTTTAAAGCATGGGGTCATTTTTCTCAACTATCATTCCTGATGTCACAAACTACAAATAGATTTCCGTGAAACGCAATTTTTGAAAAAAAAAGTAATAACAAATGAAGTTTCACATGGCATTGTGGGAAGCGCCAATAAAGTGATGCTTCCAATCTCTAAGGGAAGGCTGCCAGCATGAATATACACCATTGTGCTAGAGGAGAGAAAAAACGCTTTTGATGTGCTAGCAAAAGGAGGCTGGTAAACAAGGGAGCACAACTCAAACGTGTTCATCATTGTCAAAGCATCAGGGCTGCTGCGGACAGAAAGCACATTCCTTCGGAGCCGAGAAGTCGCTGGCTCCAAGTAAACATATTATGAAGAGACAGATCATAAACAGCCCGAACGCTGAAGTTTAAGCCAGAAAAAACCCCGCACATTTTGTCACTACTTATTCCCCTAGTGGCAAGAAAAGCCGGATCACTAACATGTTTGTGAAAGACTGAAAGGGAACATAAACCCCGATTCTTTTGGCTGCTTGGCGTCTTTGTAAACTCAGAGCTGACCGGCCGTACACAAGGGCCTGGGAATGGAGAGGGAAGCCGGGCCTTTGTCCGGGCGGGTGCCATGGCGTTGCGTGTCGCACGGCTGAAGAATGCGAATCAGGGTGTGTTCTGCCCGGAGCCTGCAGCCAGGGAGAGGGGCTGCGGCTCAGCCCTGATTAGAAGTCCCAAGAGAAATCCAGCGATGGCTGGTTTGGTGTTTTTCCTTCAGACGGATCTAGGCTGCAGGTCTCTCTTCAAGGGAGAGCTGACTGGCTCCTGCCTCCTGCCAGGAACTGGCTGGCGTCCTGGCCAGCAATCCCCATCCCCTAATACTGAATTCCTGCTGGCAGCGCCACGTGACATTAACAAGGTTGGCTGGGAGTCAAACAAACACAACTCCAGCATGCGATGGAGAACCAGTTGCACCTACGCATAATTTATGATTCTCCAGAAACTGAGTTTTGGGGTGGTGGTGGTAGGAGGGAGTGTTTGGTTTATCGTTTCAAACTCAAGGTTTCATATATATATTATATATACAAAAAACCCAACCTTACAAAACCAGGTCCAGAGTGTTTTTGGCTATTTGGATCCACCTTGACAAAGGTTGGTAAAATTTTAATAGGTGCAGTTAAACACAGGGCATGGCATCAAGAAGGCAGATTTGGAAAACTGATCCTTAGTCTCCTAAAGGGTCTGTTCTGACTTCAGGATTTTAGTGCTTAGGATACACCTGCCCCCCACCCCGAACCTCAGCAACAAAGCAGCCTCTTCTCACTAGGGAAAGTGATTCCTTTTGCACTGTGCCGCCGATAATCAGAAACCCACATTTTCAGCCTCACGACCCGACTGGAAGAACAAAAGGCAGTCTCCTGACTTAACCTCAAGATCTGATTTAAAGAAGCGGGGGGGAAAAAGCCCTTGACCATTCATTAACTGCAGTCATTTAAGGGGCAGAGAAAAATTCCTTGCAAAGAAAAAAAAAAAAAAAAGAACTTACAGCAGAGGCATGTAAATTGGAACTGAATTCTACAACCACAGAGCAAATTAATTAAACCCTTGTGAAAATCCATGAAACAGCACTGGAGATTAACAATGTCTATTACTCTTGGCCTTTTATATCAGCTTATTAGAAATAAAGAATAAAATACCCATTAAAAATCAGGTTTAGATATAATTATATTCCTCTTCCCTCCAAAAAGTATCACTTAAAATAACTGAGGAAAATTGATTCAGAAATCCTACCAATTTCCACTCGGGTTTAATTTTGTTTCTTGAGTGATAACAAATGTAATTTGTAAAACACAGCAAGAACAGCAGCAACAGAAGTCCTCCTGGTTTAACAGCACCTGGTTGAAGACATTAATTAAGCAAGCCAGAGGACAGGTTTGATATGAACCGGCAAACTCTCAGAAAAAAAATACACAGAAGATTTGTATTTTAAGATGAGGATATGAGTTATAGTTTCTGCCAGAGACGTTAGAATAGAAAAGTGCACTTTATTCCTGATGTGCCTGGAGAAAACTTAGCAAAACTAGATCACTGTCACCAGACATCTTGGGTACTGAATGGCAAAGGCTACTGGTCTGCACAGAGAACTCGTACAGGGAAAGTGAAAAGGCAAACCAACTTGTTGTTTAAATATGAATTTAGCAAAAATGGATTGCAAGCTTGACATTTGGGTGTGGGGGTGAGAGTGGGATTGAAAAAGAGAAAGAAAAAACATTAACTTGAGATCTGGAAATGCCATGGGATTTGTTTTCATGGGAAGTGAGCTTCAAGCAACAATTTCTCCCATGGCTCCTTTCTGGGCATGATGCGCTGTTTGTGTGCGTGTGTCTTTGCTGCTCTCATGCCTTCCCTTTCATGGGATTCTGCTTTTCTGTGTGCAAAAGATTTTTTCAGGTCTTCTAGCTTTGAGCTATTTCGCCTACAATTGTGCTGAAGTGCTTAATATTCACATCTTTTTTCCCCCTTGTGTCAGTGTTCGCAAGAATCTGTTGGAGCCAATTTACTGATGCACTTTCAAACAGAGTTAATATGGTAATTAGCTCTCATGCAGACTAAAAAGCATTCCCCAACTCCACCCCCCCGCCCTCCCCCTTCCAAACCCTTAGCAAATTGCATACATGTTCCCATGATGTGGACAAATAAGGGAAAAATAGGTGCTTACAAAGACACTCAATTTCTGCAATTATGCAAATGTGACTTGGGTCGGGGTGGAGGAAAATCCGAGAGTCTGTTTTGGGGAGCTGTTAGTCTGTGCGCACGGCCCCGCTAGCACTCAGCACCAAGAGCTTCAACACCGGCCACTGATGCTTCAGGACTAACATATGCATTAAGCAGGCATCGAGGAAGTTGATGACTGGATATTTAAATTAGCCCTAATGTGTCCTTTCCCACAAATCATAATTAACCCTCTAGGGACCTGGCCACTTCACTTACACTGCTGTCTGGGTTCCAGTAATGGTTTTCACGGTCTTAGGTGTATGTGAGAACACTTACCTCTAAAATTATTAGGGCAGAAAAAGTCCTTCCATTCTCACCAGAGTAATCTGTTAGTGTTAAATCCTCTATAGAAACATCACCCCAAAATTTCCCCAATCAGATTTCACCTGATCCAAATATCCAAGGGGGTATCTGGCTAGGGTGCAGAAGATTCGGTTACAGAGGAACAGATATGACACTTTAAAAGCTGCTCTCACAACTCAGTGGTGGCTGTATTTCAGCATTTATGTGGATACAAGTCTATGTGTAACTAAAACTGACCTTTAGGGGGAAAATGTCAAAAAGTCACTTTCTGGTTATTAGAACTGGGTATTCACTGGACCTAATGTCTTCCGAAATGCCACCATTAGTTCAAGGGAACATTTCCTTGGAGAGTGGCATGAACTATGAACTTTGGCAAACACTCCATAAGGAATAGAAGTTTCACAGCTGACAATTAAAATACTCCTTGTGGCTGGAAGCTGAGCTATTGCTAGCGACACAAATACATTCATCATCTGCTCACCTATGAAATTGTTCCACTCAAAATCAAGGTCCCCTTGGTTGGCCAAACAGCCTCTCATGATGTTCGAGCAGTAGTTGTAACACGGTTTCACGGTCACGAGACCCTGGCAGTGGGAGCAGTAGATCATCTTCAACAGGGCATGGGTACACTGGGCCGTGGGATTGACCTAATTTGGGAGAAGAAAAAAGACAACAGTGGGGCACAGATAGACACAGAGATCACAAGTCTATCAAGCTGAAGGCTTGGCCAGGAATTTAAGAATGAGCTGTGATGGATCACATTTAGCAGGCCTGGCTTGCTTCCTGGAGAGGTGAAGGAGAGCAAGATTAGATAAAGGGGTATGCTGGGAAGAGGGGCGGGGAGGCAGGGATGAACACTCCACTTCCTTAAATAAGCAAGTTGCATATCACATGTACATATACTACTCTCACTCATTTTAGGTTTTACTTTTCTTATTATTTAAAACATTTTGTTTGTTTTACCTTTAGTTTTGGGGGGGGTAATTTGGTTTTCTTTATCTATTTATTTTATCAGAAGTCCTGGGGCTTGAACCCATACTCTATCACTGAACCATACCCTCCCCCCAGAATTGTGATAGTGTTTTACTCTCACTCATTTCAAACAGCTCAATTATTTCAAAGTCCTTTTACCAACAAATTTCCAGGATCAGCTATAAGAGGCAGCAGAGGTGACCCTGACCTGCCACCACGCGTGGCCAGCTATGGGTCTCCCATCACTGTGTTTGCCTCGCTGTACTGAACACAAGCGCATTTTCTTTTCCAGCACAATGACTGCAAGACTGCCTTTTCCAAAGTAAGCCCCCAGTGATGGTTTAGAAGGGCACCTAGCGTGGATGCCCTTCTGTGGCAACAGCTGTACAGAAGGCAAAAATGAATGCATTGTACAGGGAAGAACAAGAATACATTTGAACTCGGGATTTTGTGAAGACCTTCCAAGGCTTGGGAGCAGTAAAGCAGAGGGCTCAGGGACACTGGTTGGAAGAAGTGGGAGGTAAATTCTGAAAGAGGAGTTAGATGTAAATGATCAATGAAAGGAGAAGACCCCAAGTCAGGGAAAATAAAATGAACAAAAGCTCCAAGGGAATGTGGCGAGCATGCCGGGGCATCTTAGAACGGGGTGGAGGAATGATAGGAAATGAGGTCGGCTGTGCAGAGGAAGGACTGTGGACGTGGTCAAAACGTACAGGGGCCTGAACACCTGGCAGAAACCAAGACCCCAAATGGCAGGACAAAGGAGGCCACTAACAGCCCATGGAGAAGGCGAACAGCCAGAAGAAAGCCAGCCATCCTCTGCAGAGCCATGAGGCGCAGGTTCATCTTTCTACTTCTACCAGGTGAAACTGTCTTGGGCATAGAAGAGCTGATTCCATTCTGTCACTCATTTCCGTCAATGCTTAGAAAGGATCATGGCCAGGATCACAGGCTGGCAGCTAACCAAGAGTTCCTGTCTTCTCACTCTCTCTGCCCCACCCTTCTCCTCTGGAGTCAGTGTCAGAGGATTAGTGCATTCCTCTCCAGCAGTACCCAACCGGCTCTGCACATACAGACTTTTGAAAGCAGATAGCACCGCAGGGAACAGATGCAGGGATGCTGGGCAGCCCAGCAGTGCACTTCACCTGCTCTGGAGGGTAACTTTGGATACCACGTATCAACAGTAGCCTTAGGAACAGGAATGCGGGATTAGCACCGTCAGGAGAAAAACTTAACACTGTTAGGCTCCTATCTGATGTACACACACACCCTCTTATCTCAAACAGAACTCTCTCCTAAAGGGGGGAGGAACAGCCACCAAGACGGTAATTGTGGCCACCGAAGCCAACATTCCCCATAGAGGAGGAGGGCTTTTGCACAGTTTTAACCCGCCCCAAATATCTTCCTAGGCATTAAATTAGTCCTTTTAACTATGTATTAATGTACAGTAAAATCTTGGTGAACCAACACCCTGGAGGAATAGCCATTCAGGACAGATTTCCTGGACAGCTCAAAGAACACGCCTTTAAAGTCACAGAGAGTTAGGACTTTGATACTTTTCCACCTCCTCATTTTACAGATGAGCAAACAAGCCTGCAGAGGGGAGGTGGCCAGAAAAGGGGCCCTAGAGATCACTCTCACATTTAAGAGCTAAACCAAAGCCAAAGGGATTAACTGACTTGGAGGCAGTCACCTTGCTGCATCCTATTTGAAGGTCCACATTGGTGAGACTGCTAAAATGGTTAGATTTTTAGAGAGGTGAAGAGTTACTGAAAGCCAGGCCAGTACATGGTATTTTTTGATTACTATGCCTATTAGAAACAATGCTCTTGCAAGAAAACATGCAGAAAGCTCAAATGTCAACAAATAGTTATGGAGCACCTGGTACGTGCCAGGGATTACTCTGGCCATGTATCTGTAATTATGTAGCTAGGCAAGAAGGAATTTCTAGGTTAGAATATGAACCCGTTCTAGAAAAAAAAAAGAGGTTTCAAAATGGTATAGACCTTTAGGAAACAAGCCAACATTTTAAACCCCACAATTCTATTTGAGAAACATTTTCTCCCCAAATTAGTCCTTTCTCCTTCTTTCTCCTTCTTTCTCCTTTTTAACCCTAGGATGGGGTTCACTGTATTCTTGGTTTGACTGTAAGTCAAATCATTTATGCAGTAGACCTGGTAATAGCACATTCTCCTAAAAAAGGTTGATGGAGATTCAAGTTTTACAAATAGAGACCAAATCAAATGACACAAGAGGGTTTTATTAAAGGAAGATCAGGAAGCTGGGTTTGGCAGAGATTTTTCCATTTCATTCTTTGGCTAAGTACTGGCTCATGTTCTGCACATGATTGGTTGTGTAACTACCAAGAATAATCATAAAGAACTCAGCTATAACACGCTATAGAGACACTAAATAATACCAGAACTGAGGAGGGAGATGGGGAAGTTATAAGAAAACTGGGATGAGAAAGGACACACAAAATACCAAAGTTAGAGAAAAATCTGTCTTTCGTCCCAACCACGAATCAGACCACCACGCAGTATTTTATATGAAGGGAATTCTGAACCTGGGAAATAAACCCCTTGTGTGGGATGAGGCCCTGGTATTAAGAGGAGGGTTTTAAAAACAGTCATGAGAACTAAAGACATAGGGGTTCCCTGTGTTGCTCATTCCCCCAGAAAAAATGCCAATAATGAGACTGCTCCCCAAGCCTTGGGTGACCACTCTCAGGGGACAGCACTCAGGATGGGGAACCCAGAGTGCTAAGGACCAGCTCTACCTGCTGACTCTGGACGCCCCAATGGACAAACAAAATGGCTGCCTCTCTTTTGGCATCTTCCAGGGCTTCTCCACAAGAAGCAAGGTAGGTTGGTAAAAGAGCCAAAGGAATACCACTGCCACAGGGAAGAAAAAGAACAACAGTATACATGACTTCGATTCAAATTCTCTTGTGGAGTTTCTGGTGAAATCTAGCATCTCCTCAATCCAGTGGTGGATCTTGCTGTCACGTCGTGATATACCAGGCCCTGTGGGAGCTCCGTTCCATGCTCTCAGTGGTCTCTCTACCCTACCAGGGGCAAACCTTTCACCCATCAACGAATGTTACAGTGGCCTAAGTCATATGTTGTTCTGGAGACTTACTAATTTTGAATATAAATTCAAGTTTATTCATATTCTACTCTCTTGTAACACTCAAAATCAATTCCTTCTCTCGAGCCCCGAAATAACTTTATCTACTGAAGTGATTTACTCTAGAAGACCCAAGACTGAGTGGTAGATCATGCCATATGGGGATCAATGAAAGGGGTAACCATACTCTAAAGTCTTCCTTTAATCCGCAGTTACGTATTGATTCTCAGTGGCATGGCATGACACTTAAAAGGATCAATCTGATTATTCCTTTGGGTCACAGCTGTTGAGCAATGTTTGATATGTTTTCCTTTTATTTAGAAGGGTCTCTGTTGAGCCCAGATGTCAGTAACTTCCAGAAACCTTGGGGCTGGGCTAGGAGTCAGGGTGGGGGTTAGTTATGATGGCTTTTATTAAATTCAGAATTTCCAGACCTCTCTTAGAGATTAAATCGTTATTTCTCAAAATGATATTTAGAAAGAACAGGGGAAGGACAGCTGTATACTCCTCCCTTCCTCCTTTGAACCACTAACATAAAGAATAGATTAATGGCCTCAGAGAGAAAATGATTAGTTTCTATGGTTTCATGATCATGAAGGTCTTGATGTGAACTCAACGTTCAAGAGAAAAACATTCTGCCCACATCAGAATTAACTTTCTACTGAGAGCTTTTACTGGATTTTATTGATTTATATGATATAGAGTACTTACTACGTGCCAGGCTCTGTTCTAAGTACTTTACATGTATTAACTCATTGAAGCTTCCAACTAATTATTGGAGAGGAATGTCCTTTCATTTCACAGATGAGGAAGCAGAGGTCCAAAGAAATTAAGGGACTCACACCAGATCTTACAACAAAGAGCCAAGACTTGAACTCAGGCAGTTTGGTCTTAGAGCAGACAGATTCAATTTCCTTAACATGTACCTGGCTTCCTTTGAGTAACAGACTGCCAAGAACCTTGAGGGCAGCACACGGGGCTGGTCCCTCTTCATAGCTCCGAGACCTAGCGCTGGGTGTCCTCGCACAGTGAAGCCTCAGCCACGAGGCTGAGTATTTTCTAGTGAGAATTTACAGTTTTCAAATTTGTGGACCACATGAACGAGTTTTTATGCTGGAGGGCAAGTCAGGATGCAACTATTCTACATGGAACAATATTTGCCTGGACAGCTTGGATGAGATGACATATTGTTTAGTAAACAACAACTTTAGTAACTTAGGCAGTCAATGCTATGTCCTTAGAATGGCTCAAGATGCTATAGGGGTGAGAAAAAATATATATAAATCACCATCACTCACTAGCCCTAGTCACAAAGAATTCAAAAGCTCAACTAAACACTGGACCTGGAGAGAAGAGTTTACTTGAATGAAGCAGAAAATGATACATATTTTACAGAAGTTTTCACATTTTGAAAAAAAAATGCAGGCCCTAAGTGTAGGAGAGATTATCTATTTCTACTAGAAAGTGGGATATTATTTATATAAGAAAACGGTTTTGACATTATTTATGAAGGACTAGAGATGGCTTGATTTGTTTACTTTGGGGG